AAGACGCCGCCGTCCCAGAGTCATAGGCAGTCCGACAAAGCCTTGCCCTGCATAAACCCCAGCCCGAAACCGAAAATAAGGAAAAAGAGAAGCTCTCAACATGAATATCTCGACCCCTCGGACCGCCCCCAGTTTTGGATGAAAGATAGAGTAAGGATCAGGATATGTTATGATTTTTTTTGGTAGTAATCCATGTCATGCCATCCTCTCAGCAAACAAAGTTACTTTTCCACATTAAACCACATACTTCGCCTTTGCTCTGGTGCTTCCAGCGTGAGCACTCTCAGTGTGGCCGGAAAATTCGACCTGTTCGTTGGCTGGGAGTTCCAGGATCTCCTTGAATCGACGTCCAATAGTCATAAGGATGTCTTTGCCCTTCTCTCCGCTACGGCCCTTTCCTCCAGCAACATCGCCATCGCCACGGCCTGGGATGCTCTTTCCTATAGTGCGGGTCCAGGCACCAATACGGTAGAAACCCTTACGGACGTTGACGACAACGCCCATGACTTCGCCATCATCTTCCTCCTCGAGGGTCTCACCAATGGCTCCCATCATGACCTGCAGCCACAAACGGTCGACATCGACATTGCGCTTGTCCTTGTATTGGTAGGACCACTTGCCGCCGTGCTTGTTCTGGGGATCTTCCCACTCAGGGCGAACGCCAGCCTTGAAGAGGTGGTAATCGGACTTGAGGGCTAGTTCGGACACGGGGGCGACATTGTTCTAGCAGATAGTAGTGAGAAACTGCATATTATAGTTATATGAATAAAACGTACCTGGACGCCCCAAAACTCCTCAACTGAGTCGAATGTGATGACTTCCTTCAGGAGATCGTTCCAGTTGTCACCCTAATGCATATTAGCCAAATGCTAACGGCAAGAGTCTCGTTCAAACAGAGTTCAATACCTTTCCACTGGGAGGCTTGGTGAACCAGAGAGTCCACTTGTTCTGAAGCGGGTGCTTGACATTGAAGTTGTCCTTATCGTGGAAAACGGTAACGGGCTTGCCGTCAGCGTCGGTGCCGTTCTCGCCACCATTAGGGGAGATGGGGATGGTAGAGAGGTCGACCTGCTGGTCCAGGTTCGCAGATTCCACAGCGGTAGCCATGTTGTGTGATTTCGATTATGTTTTGGCGCAAAGCACTCGTTTTGGTGACGGGTTTCAGGTGAGGAGGAGAGGAAGAAGAAGAAGAAAAAGAGGGTGTCGAGACGAAAATTGGCCTGGAAGCGTGCGATCGCGGGGCAGCGGTGGGATGAAGGAGGATGGTTGTGCGAGTGGCGAAGCGACGGGGAAGAAATAGGTCGACTATCTCTTTCTTTATCAAGGCTTTTTTGCTAGAAATCCGAATTTGCACCAGGCAAAGGTCGGTTGTGCAGGTCAAGAACGACGGCTTCCCAGAATGTGAGGTAGGCAGGGGGTTTAATGGTTGATTGATGAGTGAGGTTGACTCTTGCAGTGCTCGCCAGCCAAACCGAAAAAAAAATGACCCTGCCTGCCTGCTGCGTGCGTTTGGGTCATGCCTGCCAACCGAAATAAACGGTTAAAAATAATGCCTTGTATTTAAGGCTGCAATAACGGACATGGTAGGTTTGGGTACAGGCAAGTACAACAGTTACTCAAGTCATACACTGCATCAACCTTTTCCGAATGATTTATTGCCATCTTACCTACTGGGTAGGTTGTTTACAAGTCTAGCATCTTGTGTTACTCGATACCAATTATGACAATGAGATATATTCATTGGACCTGTTCATTTAAGTCCCCAGGCTAAATAAAGAGACCAGCGCCTGTCATATGGGCGATTACCCTATAGGCTTGCACCATTCCCAGTCACAAAGGCCCCGTCCGTCAACTTTACTTATTTCGTTGCCCATGTTGCTTTATTCGAAAGCAAATCCTTACATGTGAACGGGAAAGGTTGTTAGAGATTCGTATTTACTATTTTTGGCATTTGGGTTCTTTGTTCTTAAGTTATGATGGAACCAAAGAATCAATCCCACAATCAACTACTGGATGCTTTGTTTTTTCCCGTACTGCCCCTGACCTCACAACAAGAAGATACTTAAAATCATAATTGACAATGCAGTACCCGTTGAAACTCAAAGCCTCATTGTTTCAACAAAGGCAGCAACTTTAGGAGGGAGATGCAGATTCATCTGGCGCAGATAAGAAGCCCGGAATGCCCTCTCTGTTGTGCGGTTGAATCTTGAATCGTTATTGCCATTCAAACTCACCTCGAATTGTGTTTTCTATACTATACCTCCCAACTATACCCTTTAAACTATTATCTTCTCTCACCATGTCAAAAAGAATGACCCCGACAACCAGGAAGCAGTGGCTGGCCGAGAAGCAAAGGAACATCAAACGAGATGCGCCAGCTCAGCGCGAGCTAGATTTCTCTGCCATACAGACGACAATAACCGATGAAGTTTTCGAACGCCTCTTTCTGAATCTGTTTCTCGAAATTTGCGAGCTTGTTCAAGATGGGTTTGGAGATCCTGTCGTTACAGGACGTGGTTCGCTCTGGGTACAAAAGTATTCCGCTGCATTTTATAATTTGGTCAGGACAGTTGCTCGGCCAGGCTCAGACGAGAGCCAGTGGGACACATTGCTAAGTGATGGGTCTCAACGATGTGCTTTGCTTCAGGGGGTTGTTCTCAAGGCTTTGGAGAAGAATGTTTTTGCCAAGCTGTTATTTGGTGCAACCCCAGAACATAATAAGCTATTGTCGACGGAAGATGAGACGTTGATCAACGTCGAAGGCAAGTATTGAGACCAAGGCCTACAGAGAACTTTAAGAAGCTGACCGATACCAGGCTTTAAGCGAACCCACCTTCGTGCCGAAACCAACAAGGTGTACCTTCAATCATCAAGAAATAGGATCCCCCCGCACTTCTGGGATGAGGTAGACAGAGTGTCGGCGCAAATAATGCGAATGCTGTTGCCTTTGTACGCAACATTCGGGAACTATACAGAGCCCGGAACACGAGATCAACTCTCTACATACCAGTCATTGCATGATATTGTTGCCCACGCGGCCTGGTTGAGCGTCGCATTCAGCCTTTCCCCCAAGATTGTCAGATTTGATTGGGTTAAACCGGGCGAGCTGTATCGTTTTGAGCATGTCTCCGTCGGTACTGAGGTAGATGAGGAGGGACATCGCAACAACCGCGGGGAGCCACGTCGACAGCGCATCATGATTTGTGCAGCACCAAAGGTCATAATCCACAGTCGCAGCACCCGTGGGGGAAAAACAAGGTATACCATCATGAAGCCACGTGTGGTGTGCTACTTTGGACGACGCAAGGATGAAGATGATAAAATGACTCTCATTTCGCTGGATCAGCATATTCGTGCTGCAAGATCTTCATCGAGAGGCTTTTTCAAGTCATTCTTCTGGTGCATGGTAACGGCCTTGCTGATCTTGGCCATACTTTACTGGGCTTGGGAAGTACGGATGGGGTCAGCCAGGGGTTTCCTCGCGAGGCGTCTTGGAAAATGGTCAGTTATGCGGTCACGAGCCTCGGGGTTCAATATGATGCGCAAGTTTGCCTGAGACTGGTATGGTTTGATGGGTTGGTCATGGTATTGGGAATGGCGTTGAGGCGTTTCTGAGACAGGTTTTGATTTGGTTGGAAGATGTGGTTTGAGTTTAGCAGGTTTAGATAGAATATGTTTTCTTGAAGCTGCAGATGCTTGTAAATGCCTTGAATTTGATGATTCATATTTCGCACAAGTTTTGCATCACAGTCAATACTACGGTAGTTTCTCATTGACATGTTACAGCTCCTCCCCCTTAGAGCCAAATGCGGTTTCTAGAAAAGATGCAAGGTGGCTAGTGGCCAAAGAGTTTTGAAATGTTTGCCATTATTGTGATTGTTTAGGGAGAAAGGAGAAAATCGAGCAATGCTGGGGGAAGATTAAGCTTGGATACCCAGGCACATCGTCCAGAGGCTGTTCTTTTTCCGTCTCTATGGCATGTCTTTTATCATAGAGATGATTGCCTAAGGTATGCAGCTCTTAATGTGCCCTTGCAGAAAGAGAATTTAACTATGGAACTCGTCAAAATGCAAGCTGCGGAAGGAAAACTGTACGAAACGACGAGAGACAGAATGTGTATCGCAGTGTCATTATACATTTTCAGTCACATCCGTTGGCCAGATCTGCCGTCGGAAGAATATTTACTCTATTAGCAGCATCGACAGCTATTTTACTCTTGGCAGATCTGTCGAAGCAACATGAACCATGAAAAGCTCAGTAACTATTACCGCAAATGTCTGGGCTCTTTGATGTATGTCTCCTGATGGACAAGCTGCAGCTCTCGCTCGCCATCTCTCCAGCTTCTAGTCTCAAGGCAAAACCCTTTTCCTTACATTTTCTCTACGCTAATTTGTCAACAGTGGTCAAAAGACCGATAGCCGCCGACTTTCACTCTTCATTTACGCTCAATCCATGCCAGCTCGTAATACGCCATCTCACAATCTCACTACTACCTATCCATATCCAAATATGGCCAAGTCTTACTACCGACCTGCTTAATGGCCTGCTACTCACAAGACTAGGGATCACTCTTGAGGTCTAGTCATCGCAATTGAGGGATGGAAAGTTGCATTTTCGGGAATGGTATCTCTATCCCGCAGAGATTTACTATCCCTCTAGTCTCGGCGCATCCCTACACTGCTTACTAGCTGCTCATGCCGCCACAGCCTTAAGCCAAACAGGTTGCTGGCCTGGGCAATTATAGAAATCCCTCATTTAAGTTATATGCTTCTCGACCAAGGCAACGCCTCTGCCACGAAACAGTGAACCCTGGAAAAATTCACTAGGGCAAGAAATTTAGTTAGTCATATTAACAGGATCCTTCTAGGCAACGAGAGGCATCGACATGACAAAGTGTTCCCCAAAACGCCGGCGCAATAATGTATGGAGTAGGAATGAGAAATGGATGGTGACTGTTGGTTTATGTATACATTCTCAGCGACTCTCAATAACAATGGAAAGCTTCCGTAGCTCAGTTGGTTAGAGCTTCGTACTAATACTCTGGCTTACAGCCCAGTGTTGGTGATGCGGAGGCCGCAGGTTCAAGCCCTGCCGGGAGCAAAATCCTAGACGCTATCCAATCGTTTATTTTTTGCGGTTTATTATCTTTTTCTCTTTCTCTCTTCCTTTTTTCAACTTCCCCCTTGTTTTTTGTTTTGAATAACCAGTTGGAGTATGTAGTAAATCAGCCTTCATCAATACTAGCCTTTCTTAGTCAAGATAATTCGCCCCTGTTAAAGGGTGGCAGTCTTAGTTAACCCTAGTCCCTCGTACAAATAACAAATCTCAGAACAAGGGATATGACACAGTGATCCAAACTGCCACCGATGTACTCCGTATCTGTTTCTGAATTTTCTTTTGTCATTTAAATCGTCCAAGATAAGCGTCCTTTAGAGGTAGTGTTTTATTTATCGATATAGCCACCTATAGGTTTGATATGTAGGGCTGATATTAGAAGACAACCGTGGACCTTGGACTCAAGGCAACGAAAAGCCTATAGGAATTCAGAGAGTATGGAATCATTGGAAACTAATCAAACTCAAAGAAGTATAAAAAAATATCGAACTTTCGTTCACTTAGAAAATACTGTCAAATTCAAACCTTTCATCTACTGAGCAGCGACATGGCTCTGCTCCAGGCCAGGGGGTCCCAGGTTTAGAAAAACAGTCAGCTGTTTGAAAAAATGTGGCAAAACCTCTTCTGGTAATCGGTTCAATTTAATAAAGGGAAAAATTTTCCTTATAGTCATCATCACCAAGGTGGTTGGAGTTTCTCATCCTTCAGCCTTTGTTTGCTCTCTGATTGACTTACTGGTGGCTGGTGATGAGCAGTGGGGCTTTCTTTCTTTCCTGGTCAAACCCGATTCGCTGCTTGGTCAAGCTCCTTGAAACAGAGGGAAGGTACGGCGTTACATGCAGCAAGTACCTCGTAGCTGCCACTGAAGCTGAGGTAAAGGTCAATTACGAGTAATTGTATTTGACGCCTGTCAACTTGACTTCGTCCCTGCAGAACACCGAGCAACATAATTATCTCATCTCATCTCAATGCTCCATCCAATCTCGATGGACCCATTCGCCTTTCTTCACTCTAGCTTAGCTGCATGTTAGATGCATTGCAAGCCCTTTGGTCGGTGCCTTGCATCCTACCGCTGTTCAAACTTCTCCCAAGCGGCCCAACTCCAGCCACCCAGATTCTCGAGATAGCAACACACCTCCACTTCCAACTCCACCTCAGCCTGCAGCTCCCGACCGCTTCTTTTGCGTTGTTCCACAGCGTCGAGTTACTCTGAGGACCCAATACTACGCTCCCGGAGACACGGGTTGGCCGGTCTTGTTTCAGTTGGACGGGTTGTCGAAGTTTCTAAGCCTCGAGCCACTTAAGACCCTGGTCAGCGCGCACGGTTTTTTGGGAGCTTATGCCAACAAACCACCGGAAGCCTCACTCAATTTTTCTCTCTACTCAATGCCCTGTTAAAAGGAAACAACGATATTTGCATGCGTCTGGTAGCTGCGTGTTCCTGCATAGCATTGCTATAATCCGACGGGTTGCGTGGGACCCCGAGACTGAACCTGGCGACTTATCACACGTACATAGTCCATGCCTCTTCCTCTTGTTTAACCGACCCTGTATCTGTATCTTGCTTTCTTACAACCATATTACTACTGGTATATGCCGACCTTACGGAGCACGAAAAACGCCAGATCATACCACGTACGTCCATTACAGCCCATGCGTATAATTGACTCGCTTGTCCTCGGCCTTACCGAACCCTCGTGGACAGCTTTCATCAGCCATTTGCGACCATGTCAGCACCATACTGGGGTGAGCTACCCCAGCCCAAGAAAATCCATGATGGACGCCTGTCAGAAGACTATTCGTACGAATACTCGAATCCCGACCAAAGACAATCTCTAGATATCCAGCCTCCGCGCAAGGCGAATCGCAATTCAATCCAGACTACTTACACAGAAGCTCCCACCGAAACGACCTTTAGTCCGCACTCTCCAACTTCTTCAACCATTGCGCCTCACGGTTTGGCTCCGAGACCGCCATCATACCAGCAAGGTCAATCTCTAGACATGAGCTTTGAACCCTATGACAAGACGAGCCGACGTTCGAATCGAATGCCAGACGAGCGCGACGAGCCCTCATCCCCAAGTATGCCAGCTGCCCCCGAGGCCCCACGAGGGCCTCCTGTGAGCTATCGCCAGCCCAACGGACCGTACCCATATGCGTACCCCTCGCCTGGCTCAAGCAGACCTCCTCGACAGCCATTCCCAGGCGAAGCAATGGGGACAGAAGAATATTTCCCACCAGAACGGTTTGACGGGCAGCCAGGTCCATCTCAACGACCAATTGAGGATGTAGTGGCACGAAGAGATAGTAAAAGCTCCGCACAGCCCGTGACTGGACAATCTCGAAGGGCATCCGCCAGTGGAACGTCCGATCGACGCAAAAAGTTCGCAGACGACCGATCACCCCTCCAAAGGCTTGAGCTGACGCTCGACAGCATGACCAAGGAGGAAAAACGAGCCCGAGTTGAAGCTGCGGAGCAAAGGGCCAAGGCAAGAGCAGCAAAAAAGGCCGCTTTGCAAGCCTCCGGAGGCCAAGTGCCCCAGCAGCAGGAATTGCCGCCCTTGGTTGTCCAAGATAGACGCCCCGCAGCTTCACTTGAGCAGGCATCCCCCATAGTTTCGAATGTTCCTTTTCCGCGCGAAGCAGCCGCCCCGAGAGAAGCCCCGGCGTCACAGATTCGACCACCGCAAACTTTGCAAGAGGATAATCGAGCCTACGTACAAGGTCCTATTCAACAAACAACCAGGACAGCAGCCGACCCACAATCCTTACCGACAGAAGCAGACTTTGGAATTCCGAAACGAAACATGAGTTTTCGCGAGCGTGCTGTCCGAGACGACCCCCAGTTCTCTAACGTAGAAACCCATTCTCCTCCAGACGAGCCATTAATACCACCCAGTAGCGGCTTCTCTTTGGCCCGTAGTGGAAGCAACAAGTTGAAAAAGGAGCCTCCTGCAGATTCCTGGCATCGTATCAGGATGGAAGCGGAAAGAAGACTGCCTCCTCAATCCAAACCTGCTTCGTCCAATGATGCAGGCCGAGCCCCCCAAGAACTTGCCCAGCAGTCTACACATTCGTCACCACGATATTCAGGTGACAAAGAATTGCCCCCTCTGCCACTAAACCCAACCGATCAGCTTCCTCCTCCACAGTTGGAGGAGACCAGGCTTCAGGAGTCAACATCAGGTCCAGATAAGCCGGGTATACGTCGACGCACCACAGAGCCCCCGGCTGTTTATGTCCCTGAGCTTGGGTATGATAATGATTATATTCACCCAGCTGCTAGAGGTGGTCTTTTGCATTCGGTAGTACTTGGCCCGCACTCAAAATTAAATCCACTCCCACGCTCACAACCAGAGCCGCAGCCACAATCACACTCACCACCACCATCACAACCGCAAGCGCAAGCGCAGCTGCAACAGCGACCTCTACCACAGCCCCAACCACGCTCACAACCGCAGCCACGGCCGCTACCGCAACCGCAAGCTCAAGCCCAAGCTCAACCGCGATCTCAAGCTCAACCTCAGCCACAATTACAGCAACCGGAACCACAAGAACGACGAAGACAGTCCCAGTCGCAAACGCTGCAGCCAGAGCCACAAGAACGACGACGACAGTCTCAGCCGCAATCACTACAATCAGAACCGCAAGAACGACGACGACGACAATCCGTGTCGCAAACGCTGCAACCAGAACCACAAGAACGACGACGACAGTCTCAGCCACTTCCGCTGCAACCACAACCGCAGTCGCAGCCGCAAGAACGACAACGACAACTACAAACTCAAATACAGTCACAAGTACTTCCGCAAGTACACCCGCAAGCACATTCTCAAGTTCAATCACAGTCACAACCACACTCACGGCAGCAATCACGGTTCCAACCGCAGCTACAACCACAGTTGGAACCACGATCAGAGCTACGATCAGAGCTACGATCAGAATCATGGTCAGAACCATGGTCAGAGCCACGGTCAGAGCCAAGATCGGAGCCAAGGTTGGAGCCACGATTGGAACAACAACCACAACCACAACCACAACAACAGCAACAGCAACAGCAACAGCAACAACCACCGCAACCACAGCCGCATCCTCGTCAGGTTACAATTAGCCTCCCCCTGATGCAGATGCAAGACATGAACTGCATGCTGCTAGTGACTCATCAGGCAGCTCACGCCACCATAGAATATCAGGAATGGTATTCAAACGGCGTGAGGATCTCCGACCGGGAGAAGGTCTCTATCAACCTCCGCAATGGCTGGATGAATGGAAGAAAGGCACCGTTGGCACATTGTCTGGAACACTTCTAGATCTCAGCCCTGATCAAATGGGACCAAATGATAAGAATACCACATGGTGGGATCAGGGTGGGAACCGAAGAAATCAAAGCGTTGCATCTAGGCCGCGTAAAGCTGAAGCATTTGAAGGTGAGTATGATGATTCAGGTAAGTTTTATTTTGTGTATATGAAAAGTAGATTGGCTAACAGTAATTCAGCTGCCACACGCTTTAAGCCTCCGCTGTACTTGAAGTGTGGGCCTTTACTTAGGTACTGTGGTATACGTCGTGAAAGGGTTCCTGCTAGACCTCGAAATAACAACGTCATGTTGGAGCGTGAAATTTGGCGAGGAACCATCATGATTGTCACCAGCGACGCAGATTCATCCTATGAGATTGCTCCAACGCTCCGACTTTTCTTGCAGGATGTAGAACTCTTGCCCCCTCCCCCACAACATGTGAATGGCGAACTGTCACCGGAATATGTTGACCCTATTGCTGGTCATCCTAAATTAGGTCGGCGTGGTGAGACTCTATATGTTCGGCCTGTAGACCACCTTGAAGAGGCTAAAGATCTTTCTCGCGATGAGACCGACGAGGGCCTTTTCGAAAAGACAAAGAGCCCACCAGATGAGCTGCTGCCTAATGGTCTTACGGATTATCCGGGTTCTTTTGCCAGTCGCCGCAGGAGGGTTGATGTCGATGGCGAGAAGATGCTCAAGTACAAGGATGTGAGAGGTTTCCGTCTTCACGCTGAACAGGGCTGTACCTTTTGGCGATTCAACATTGAAGTCGAACTTCGTGAGAAGCAGCAGCGAATTGCATATCGCATTAACCGTGGCCCTGCTATGGCATTTTGGGTCCCGGCAAGTGGAGAGGCAATGAATATCATGTTCTACAGCTGCAATGGGTTCAGTCTGAAGGCCAAGCCGGATGAACTTAGTGGTCCGGATCCCATGTGGCGAGACGTGCTGAATTCGCATCAGACACAGCCCTTCCACGTTATGGTCGGTGGAGGTGATCAGATTTATAACGACTGCGTTGCTGACGAGTGCGAGCTTTTCGACGAGTGGCTTGACATCAACAATCCTATTCATAAGCACAGTGCTGCGTTTACGAATGAGATGCAAAGCGAGATTGAGAAATTTTACCTTGAACGATATTGTATGTGGTTCTCTCAGGGCTTGTTTGGATTAGCCAACTCGCAGATTCCCATGGTCAACATGTATGACGATCATGATGTATTTGATGGCTACGGATCATATCCCCATCATGACATGAACTCACCGGTGTTCTCCGGACTGGGAGCTGTGGCTTTCAAATACTACATGCTCTTCCAGCACCAGAGCATTGTGACCGAGACCGAGAATACAGAGCCAAGCTGGATTCTTGGAGAAAAGCCTGGCCCGTACATCAAGGAGCATAGCCGCAGTCTCTACATGTCAATGGGCGGGAAAGTTGCTCTTCTTGCTGTGGATGGTCGTACAGAGAGGACAGAACGGACAGTGATTGACGAGAAGACTTGGGAGAAGATGATGAACAGGCTCTACGCCGAGGTCAGACGGGGGCAGGTGGAACATTTACTTGTTCTGCTTGGCGTCCCAATCGCCTACCCGCGGCTTGTGTGGCTTGAGAATATGTGAGTAGTTGATGGGACCAACAAGGCTGAATTTTGCTAACCAGACTTAGATTGACGTCGAAACCTGTCAAGGCTTTAGGCAGGGCCGGTTTGCTTGGCAAGCATTTGAACAACATCGATGGTGGAGTTGAAGTGCTTGATGATCTGAATGATCACTGGACTGCCAAAAATCACAAACACGAGCGGACCATTGTGATTGAGGATCTACAAGACTTGGCTATTGATAAATCGCTCCGAATTACGGTACTAAGTGGCGATGTTCATCTTGCTGCCATTGGTCAGTTCTATTCCAATCCCAAACTTGGACTGGCAAAGCACAAAGATCCTCGATATATGCCCAATATCATCTCTTCGGCCATTGTCAACATGCCACCGCCAGACCTGTTGGCCGATGTTCTTAACAAGAGAAACAAAGTTCATCACTTTGACAAGCAAACGGACGAGAGCATGATTCCCATATTCCGACATGGAGTAGATGGCAAGTCAAGGAACAACAAGAATCTTTTGCCTCATCGCAACTGGTGTTCCATCCGGCTCTGGCAGCCAGGCAACACGCCGCCCCCTAGCCCACCTGTATCGGATGATGAAAGCCCAGCTCCACAATCGGGTGGTGGTGGTCTCTTCCGGAGATTGTCCAAAGGGAAATCATCTTCGAAGAACTTTGACATGTCCCGAGAGTCAGTTCGTGGCCCTCGACCCCCCGTTTCGTCAGGTATAGGCGGTCTATTCCGGAGTCTCTCACGGTCTAGGTCAAAGAAGCAACAAGGCCCTCCCCCGACTCGGACAATGTCCCTGGGTAGAGGAGAAGCACAACAACGAGGAGGTGATATGCCACAATATGGCCGCCCTGCTAGTCAGAGCCAGAATGACCACAGCATCATTCAGGGTCAGTGGGGTGCCGAGGATATGGACTATGGGTACGTAGATCCTAGGGGCCCCGGACAACCTGGCCCATCTGGCCTTCGTGGAGGTGCTGCTACGTTCGATGAGTTCTCAGAAGGAGACGAGTCGTTTTTCACCGCCCAGCCGCCGCGCCGAGCACAAACAATGGGCAACCAACCCATGGCAGCTGGCAATGAGCTTGAAGACGCACCTGTCCGCCCCTTCCACCGAACTCCCACGGGCCTGTCCACCAAACAGATGCGCCAAGCTGAGAAGCTGCAGGTCGACTTGGAGGGAGGACTGGATATTTCTTTGAATGTCGAGGTAAACCCCAGGGACCCAACAGGCATTACGGTGCCATATCGAATTCTTGTTCCCAAGTTGTTTTATGATTATTCCCCTGAGGAAGATGATATACCAGTAGCTGGGCCAAGCGGTATCCGCAGGTTTCTAAGCCTTGGGAAGAAGCCGCAGCGGCCGCAAGAGGAAGAGCCGGCTCCAGAGGATGAAGAGGAGCAATATGAAAGCGAGAACGAGGCGAACTATGAAACACATTAAGGGATGGGTTTGGATAATGGGCTGAATATTTCTTGCTAATTCATGGATGTTGTTGATTTCCTCAGCATCGAAATTTTTTTTTGTATTTATTGTGCTTTATTTGATCAGGGCTTTACATATGGCATTATGTTTTCAGGACCGAAATGGGTTGGCACGGCGAGCAAAAGCATACAAGACGGTTAGAAGGAAGTGGTTTGGATTGAAGTCTGGTTGGGGTTATGATGACATTTACGATTTAAAGTTGATTTGCAAGGTGTATTTGGACTTGTTTCTACCGTATTACTTACTGTGTTACTCCAAGGGAATATCCAATTGTAAAACGAAGAGCCTTGATAGACAAGACTGGCAAAAATAGAAGGCTGCCCCTTACTGGAGTCGAACCAGTCACCTTGTCATGTCAAGTGAAGTACTAGTGACACGCTATACCGCTTAGCCAAAGGGGCTTGGGGTTGGTTGGCAGAGCCGCCAGCTTGATATGGCTCAAGTCTGTAGGAAGTCTGTAGGCCTCCTGATGCTTGACAGGAGCCTGGTTATAGGATGTCAACAAGTCGTTTCCAAGGTTGCTTTAGAGACGTAGACTAGATGATTGCTAAGAACATGCATCTACCATTACCTCTGCTCTGTTGAAGAGTAGGTACCTAGTATTTATTAGAATACGGTACTCCATAGAGTGAGTGGCTGGAGTTGGAGTGACAATGTCCAAGATCAATATCGTGTGGCTGGTCAAGCTTAAAGCGAAAAACTGGAGAAAATAGACTAAACCCTTTTTGTACAACGTCAGTTCAGGCCCACCACGTCGTCCCCCTGGCCGGCTCAAAGCTTAGCACCATGTCCACTTACATATTACATGTACATATTCCATACACATTGCACACTCATCAAAGGCGACCATGCTCGTGCGTCGACCTGTTCCAATTCGACAGACCAACGCTTGAAAACCCCCCGCTTCCAGTTGTCATAGACAGTTGAGGGTTCTGCTATAGCATTACTACTACAATATTGTTTTATCCTCATCCGTTATTTCTTGGCCCTAGGATTTGCCCTTCTACGATTCCCCCCTCGGGTTCGCTCCCACGCTCCCACGCCACCACTTACCTCTCCCAACAACCGACCACTTGATCTCTCTCCCTTCCCCGAGAGGAGAGGGAATGGCTTAATAATGCCCCCTTATAACCGCTCTGTTGCCGAGGAGCTCTCCCATGGCGCAAAGGCTTTGGCTCATGCGCTATGGGTGTGGATCAAAGGCTCCGGTAGACATATGGCGACTGCCTTCACCATCAAGTTCCTCCACCGAATTCGCATAAACCTGACTTCCAGAAGGCTGTTAAGCTTCCCACATCTGCTTGTGCTGTTCTGGCTGGTTATTCTGCTATGGGGAGAGCGTTGGATATTCGACAGCAAGGTTCAAGACTGTGACTGGAAAAACTGGGAGAAATGGGTACGTGCTTTGCTGCATGAACGGGACCCAGAATGCAATGCTTATGGGCCGATGACAACGATAAAGTGCTGACAATACATATAGCCCAAAGGCGCAACTCCTCACCACCTCGTCTTCGTCGCCGACCCTCAAATCGTCGACCCTCACACATATCCCGGAAGACCATGGCCGCTCTCCTCCCTAACAGTGGCCATAACCGACAACTACCTTAGCCGAGGTTACACTGCGCTGCAGAAACATCTGCATCCGGACAGCCTTTTTTCCTCGGCGACCTCTTCGACGGCGGACGAGAGTGGAAGACGAGGAATGGGAGATTCGTAGACCCAAAATGGGGCCGAGGGCGATCGAGTACAGAGAAGAAGTGGGTGCGAACATGGCATCGCAAATACGGCGAGGATTTCTGGCTACACGAGTACCAGCGATTTAGCGACATTTTCTTCAGCGGCTGGAATGCGGGAGGCGATGCGCCTGGTGCATGGCAAAGAGGCAGGAAACTAGTCGCAAGTTTGCCAGGCAACCATGATCTGGGGTTTGGTGCCATGGTCCAGGTCCCAGTGAGAAATCGCTTTAGCGCATACTTTGGTGAAGGCAACCGAGTTGATATCGTCGGAAACCACACCATTGTATCGGTGGATGCCGTCTCCTTGAGCGCAGACTCATCTGATTACCGCAATGGTCACGATTTGACACCGATTTACGGGCCAGTCACTGAGTTCTTGGACGGGGTCCAAGCCACAAAGCGAAAGCTTGCTCAGGAGGAGCTAAATGCTTGGTATGGACTTGACCACACGCAGAAATTGAAGCATGCCGTCGAAGAGCTTGACACGGCGGTGGTGAAGCAATCAACAAGAGACCCTGGTCCGGGGGCAGCTGATTTCCCCACCCTCCTCCTCACGCATGTGCCTCTATACCGTCCACCGGGCACTCCATGCGGGCCGAAGCGCGAGCGTTGGCCCCCGACCAAACCCCCCAAGGGACAGACGTCGCCTGTGGTGCCAGACGAGCGCAACGCCATTAGTGTTGTGGCAGGCTATCAGTACCAGAATGTCCTGAACGAGGACGATTCAGTCAAGCTCATCAAGAGTATTGGCAATGTCGTTCATGTATTTTCTGGTGATGATCACGACTACTGTGAGGTTGTGCATTCACCGTCCAAGCAGAACGTGCGAGAAATCACAGTTAAGAGCATCAGCATGGCCATGGGCGTCTCAAACCCCGGATTCCTCATGGTCAGTCTGTATAATCCCATCGACAAGCATGGAAAGCCTCTCCCTGGCTCTCCCCAACAGACACTCCAGACACATCTTTGTATTCTCCCTAATCAGGTTCATACTTATATGAGATATATCACCTTTGGGCTTTTGTCGCTTGGCCTACTTGCCTTGCGTGCCTTTCTTGTCCCCGTCCTTCGCCTTACACCCTTTGCACTTCAGCGCGAGCAGAGCACCTCAGTCCTCCCTATATACAAAGATAAGGTCGAGCCCCCTGACTCATCATCTACCCGGTACGGCTCCTCCGGCACGTCCTCAAATCACTACCCATCACGGTCGTCTGCAGCCCCAAGAACGGGCGGCTCACGGCGGTCACTGTCTACAACGAATGCAAGCCTCAACAACGGCGCTCCCAGATGGGAGTCGAAGAAGGCGAAACAAGGAGGTAGATGGGGGTGGAACGACGATAGCGGGCCGCGAATTAAACTAGACGACAACTTTTACGATGGCGGGAAGGCGTGGAAGAATACCGGGAGGGATAGGCGTTTTGTGCTCGGGGAAGCGGGTAGGGAGATGTGGACAACGTCATGGAGGGTGGTATGGGTGACGGTGTTGTTTTGGGTACATTTGACGAAGTCAGGGTGAAATGGTTTCTGTGTTTACGAGACGCAAGGAAAAGGAGCAAGTCAAAATGTTGTATGATTTGTATAATTACCTACATACGTAATCGGGGTGTGAATCCTCCATGGAGCGGGATGGGACGAGAAAAGGAAAAAGAAGAAGAAAAAGAAGAAGAAACAAGAACCTGCATGTCAAACGGATGGAATAACATGAGGGCACGACGACGATTTTTGCACTGGGTGTTTTGTATTATGTAGACTATTATGAATATGAATATGATGACTCTTTGTTTATTTTTATTTTTTTCAGTCTTGGTGTTGCTATCGAGTTGCCATGTCGTGTAATAAGGATGATGACGGCTTCGATGCATAAAACTTGATGGATAGTTTTCCTTCTCTCTGTGTATGTTTTTGCGGCTTACTCGTGACGGTGTATAACGACGTGATCTTCGTGTCGAGTTGGCCATCCGCCCCCAAACTCGTATCACTGCGTGTCCTCTATTCCTTTGTATCACCTCTCCAAATCCTCGAGATAGTTCCAATCAATCGTCCTTCCCCAAGTCTCCCCGCTGCCCCCCCCCCCCCCCCGATCCATCCGAAAAATCCTCATCCATTCTCCTCTCCCCTTTCTCTGCCAATGACAAAAAAGCAAGGGGGAGGAAAGGCCAAGGTAAAATAATAAAAATAATAAAAAAAACATTTCACCTCCCCCTCCTCGTCACCCCAATCCTATCATCCCTAACCTTCCTCGCCCTCACCTCCACGTCGGGACTCGCCTGCACACCTTCCATAGCCTGTGCATGTGCTCCTACGCCTGCACCACCGCCGCCGCCGGCAGCGTTCCTAGCTGCTGCTTCAGCCGCGCGGGCCTGCTGCGCTGCGAGCAGGGCCTCGCCTGCGCGTCGGTCCTCGTACGCGGCTACGTCTTCGGGGGTGATTTGGAGGGTTGTGGGGGGTCGGCGGAGCATCTTTTTCCCTTTTTTTCCTTTTTCGCCCCCTTCTCTCCCTTTCTCCTTTTCTTTTCTTTTTTTTTTTTTTTTGCTGTAGAGTGTTCCCCAAGGATGGGACTTTGATGAGAGGGGGCCTTTGTTCTTTTGCCTGTTGGTGCGTGTAGGCTATAGGATCGAGCGGGCTGCAGGTAGGAAGGAATGTATGTATGTAGGAACAGTGGAGAAATCTTTGATCAAAGTTTGTGATTGTTGTTGTAGATTAATCGTTATCAAAGTTGATCGAGTCAGTCGTGAAATACGGTATGTTGAATACTCTAGCGGTGAGTCTGAATGGTTCGATTCAAAAGTCGCGTGTTCGGCGTGTGTGTGGTTGAATGATGCATGTTCTGCTAGCAGCGTCGGGAGGTGCAGGAATGCCCCACGGTAAACGGTCGCAGGGTCGCAGGGTCGTAGTGGAGGGAGTGGGCGGGGGGAAGAGGGGCGGGATCTTATCAAAAACTACTCCACGACCAAGACGTCAAACCTGACTCGATGCACATAGACAGACAAGACACAATTTCAGGGGCTCATCATGATATTCAATACTAAACATCACTAGAATTGAACATTGTCTTAAAAAGGAAATCTAAATCGCTGGTATGCATTTGTCGGCATCTAGCCTAGGTATCGTATCCAAAAGATTGACTCCACGCTTGCTCCCTATCATAACCTGTTCGGTCCTTGCCCTGGTATCTGGTAAACAAAAGAAATATGGTATCACGAGTGTGGTATACAAAAATCATCAAGTCATGACCCTCCCCATATGCAATGCACCGTTAGTTAAAAGCATGCTCCGCTTCCATCCTCAAAAAGTGATCCAAACCCTGCTCCATGTTGGGCTTCATGTTCATAGTCTCCTCCTCAGCAAATGCAGTCAGGGGTAGATCAACGGTGCTCTCGTAGATGCTGACGCTGTACATGCTGCTGCAGCGATCTCGAAGAAGCTTGATTGTGTCAAAGACGTGGTGGTGCTGCTGACCGTCGACGGGAGTCCGCAGCTCCTCTTCCGTGTTAATAGTGGATGGTGTGGACGCAGCTGAGCCCAGGCTACCCGCTGAATCTCGTGATGATCGATCCGGGTTTCGTTCGGGAATCTTTTCAGAGACAATGAGCTCTCCGTGTGTCTCAAAGCCAAACTCCTCAAACCATGCAGTCACCTCATCAGCAATGTTGCTCTCGTCATCC